CTTCCAGCCTTCCCCGGGTTTGTGCTGAGGAGGTCGGCAGCAGCGGCGGTGGTGGCCGGATCCATGCGCACGACCAGATGCGTGACAAACGGCACTTGGATGTTGGAAGCAGCTCAGCCCGTCCCTGCATGGGGTGCTGGTGCACCTGTCCTGTGCTCTGCTGGAAGGGCTTCCACGTGGATCCCACCGTGACCACAGTCCTGCTGGATCTGGACCTGTCCTTTGCCATGACACAGATAAGGACCGATGCGTGCCATGGGAGACGGTGTGGGCCACATCCACCCTTCGACGTGACGCTCCATGGCTGGGTCAAGCCAAGGAGGATGAGAGGACACCATCAACTCTTGAGCTTTGTTTGCTGTGCTCTGGGTAGAGAACGGAGCTAACGGAGAATGTCACGGGTTCACCACCTCAGGGCTCCACGAGCTGCTGATCCGGCTGAAGATGAACTTGGGGCAATTAGAAAACAAGGAAGGGAGGAGCTTTTGAGCAACCTGGTGTAGTGGAAGGTGTCCCTGCCCATGGCAGGGGGCATTGGAACAAGATGATCTTGAAGGTCCCTTCCGACTCAAACCAGTCTGTGATTCTATATTCCTGCAGGCCACCCTGCAGACAGCTTCTCCGCGTTCTGAGGTCTGTGCTTCCTGACCCCGACTCCCAGATGCCATTCTGAAAACCAACTGAAGAACTATGTCTCCCGCCCACTGCGTTTCACGGCGCCACAGCCAGCTTGCTCCAGCAGATGCACATGGACAAGCCCCTGGCTGCTGGTGGTACCTGCGGACAGGCGCTCACCCAAGCCATGGAAGGGACCCATCTCTCACTCCCAAAACGCCAGTCCTCCTGCACCCTTCTCCCCAGGCTGACAGACGAGACCTGGCTGCTGCTTGAAGGGACTGAGCTCAGTCCTGGAAGCTACCTACAGCTTCCAAAAATCGCCTACAAGCCAACAGCTGGGTGGGGGAGAGGGGATAAAGATCTAAGAGGCAGAAGGTGTTATGGGGCACAGGGGAGGGGAGGGGAGATGGTGGCAGAGGGCAACGATCAAGAACATAAGGCAGGACCATGTTAGAAGGGATGGGGAGAAGACACCCTGCGGCAGAGCAGGGGATGTGTCAGAAGACCAGTAGGAAGGTCTGTGGATGCCCCAGCCCAGCAACATGGAGCATATTGGTGGGACACTCCTGTTGGTGGGACTGGCACTGCTCTGAAGCAGATCAACCGATGTCTGTGTCTGTGCCTCGTTCCTTCTCCCTTCCCCACCCCAGGTCCTGCATGCAGGAGTCATCGGGGCGAGCAGTGACCAGTCCTCTAGTGGCAGAAACCCTCTTCATTGCCACCAGACACAGTCCCTACCTGCCATCTTCTCAGATCTGCCTTCCCAGGGACTGGCCTCAGCTTTCAAGCCTCTGAAGACCCCTATCCTCCCACGTGGACCTGGGGGCTGCTCTCTCATCCATTAGGATCTTGTAAAGCAAACGGATCTCCCCCACCTCTGTGCATCTGGAAGCCATCCCAGGGAAACCACAGCTGCTGGCCTGGCACTGCCAGGGAGGGTCTTCAACAAGGACCCACTGTCCCTTAGTCGAACTGCTGATCTCTCAGGAACACCAAGTGATGTCCCGGCATGTGCGTGTGTTGCTGCCCAGGATGGGTTTCAGATCGCCAGAGGGGCCCTATGGCTCCATCCCTCTTAACCTTGTTACTCGTGTCACCTCCATCCCTCCACGACCCAATGCAATCATCAGGAAACTTCTCCCAATACGAGGTGACCTCCACACAGTGTTACCCAGCCCAGAGGAGAGCAATGTTGACATCACTTCTCTGGCCACCAGAGCAGATAATGAAGATCCGTCTTCTCCTGTAGTTCTCCATGGCCTTTAGTTGCCGGGATGGTGAATGCTCTCACCTCTGGTTTCACATAGGAAGCATGGCTCCCAGACTGTGTGTCCTTGGGAGGGGTGGTGGAAGGGGATGGAGATTTCCATCTCCTGTTCTTGCTTGAAGGAGTTAAACACCCACTTAGGCAGCGTCGGGAGCAAGCCGGGTGTCAGGGAACGGCATGGCACAGGACCAGCCATCTCCAGAGCGTGGCACAGGTGAACCAAGTCCCAGCACCACTGGGACTGGCTTGGTTTGGATCATTGCAAACCCTTTCTGTGGATGGAGCTGGCATTCCCGGAGCGACAGCCGTGCCCAGAAGTCAATGAGATGTCATTGCTGCCACCAGTCTTGATGCAGGTTGGAGAGTCCCTCTGGGCTTCTGACAAGCCCAGTGCAAGGTGCTGCCACCACGAAGTCCCCAAATCCTTGTAGAAATCACCAAATTCCCTGCGATCCAACAAAGCAAAGGCAGCACTGTAGTCCAGGGCTGCCTCACCTTCTGCCAAAGCCACTGCAGATGGGCACGTGCCCTCTCCTGCCTGCAGTACGCCAGTGGTGCCCACCCAGGCAGTGTCCCTGTGCCCCAGCCCTGCGCGGGGGCTGCGGTGGCGGCGTGGGGCGAGCTGGGGGCTGAGCGGCCCCGAGGAGCGGTCGGCGTGGTGCCCGCTGCCAGCTTTGGGTGTCCTCCAGTCTGAATGCGCCTCCTGACTCCTCGCATCACCCACTCCATAAATAAATACTTTAAATAAATAAAGTGACAGATCCGGATCGACGGGGGGGTTGGGGGCAGAAGGAAGGAGGGGGCAGCCCCTCTCACCTCGGGGGCTGTTCGTGGGCGTCTCACACAAACACACGCGCACACACAGTAGCTGAAGACAAAAGATGAACTGGGACCGGTGGTGGAGATGATGCCGGCCGGGCCCCTTCCTTGGCCACCGGGAGGGCAGAGTCCTCGCCCGGGGTGGTGCAGGGGACGGGGGGGGTCCAGGACGTCACTCCTGAGCCGAGGTGCACGGGGAGCCGGAGGTGAGGGAGACATGCGTGGTTGAGGATGGCAATGACCGCGGCGTCTGGCACCTGGAGGAAGGGACGAACAAAGAAAACATGGTTTCCTTCCCCTTCCTCTGCCTCCTGCTCTCCCCTGCACCCTGAAATCTAGCCGTTTTCCCAGCTGTTTGCTACATGAGGAGCACCAACGGAACCTCGGCGTTGTGCAGGACAGTACCGTGTGTGTTACCATCTGAGATACACGTGTATCATCACATCATGGGGTGGGAGGGACTTTAAACATCATCTAGTTCCAACCCCATTGCTATGGACAGGGACACCCTCCCCTAGATCAGGTTGCTCAAAGCCCCATTCAACCTGGCCTTGAACACTACCAGAGATGGGATACATCTACTACCTCTGGGCAACCTGTTCCAGTGCATCACCATCCTCAGAGGGAAGAAGTTCTTGCTCAGATCTCATCGCAATCTCCCCTCTTTCAGTTTAAAGCCATTGCCCCTTGTCCTGTCACTACACGCCCTTGTCCAAAGCCCCTCTCCAGCTTTCTTGTAGCCCCTTTAGGCACTGGAAGGCTGCTGGAAGGTCTCCCCGGAGCCTTCTGTTCTCCAGGCTGAACAGCCCCAACTCTCTCAGCCTGTCTCCATAGCAGAGGTGTTCCAGCCCTCGCATCATCTTTGTGGCCTCCTCTGGACCCACTCCAAGGGGTCCATGTTTTTCCTGTGCTGAGATGTATCATATATGACATCATCACCCTGTTTTAATACTCATCCAACAGCCGTTACCAAAGCAATATCAGCCGTACTTTTAAATCTGATCACACATGAACAACTCAGGACCAGTTTCAGCCCCAAAAGGAATAGGGGTCTTGCAGCTCTGCTGTGACTCCTCCACCTGCCCCGGGCCCACGCGCTGTCCCGCATGGAGCATCCTGGCCATGCTGCAGCCCCCATGTGTACCTCCTGCCCGCCAGCACTCACCAGGAGCGGGACTTCCTCACCCGGGAGGCTGCCGGCCGCTCCAGGAGGCTGTCCAGGTGCATCAGCCTCTCCAGGTGGAGAGCCCGGGGGTCCTGCTCCGCCGGGTCCCTGCTCCGCTCAAACTCGAAGATGGCTGGAGGGGAGAGGTCCAACTCCAAGAACATGATGTTCTCAGCCTGCAGCAGGACAGGGCAAAGAGAAAGCCAACACGAGGAGTCACTGCATGGCAAAACACAGCACTGGCTCTGGGAAGCCCACACAGCCGAGGGAAGCTATGGACCTATCCATCCACTCATCTATCTACCCATCCATCCATGCACCGACCCATCCACCCACCCACCCCATTTATCCAATGACTCCTTGTCCCCCCAGCACACACCAGTGCCCTCTCGCTTACCCGGTACCGAGGATGAGAACCCATGGCCATGGCCACGCGAGCGTACTGGCTGATGGGTCTCTTGTACCCCACTGCAGAGGTAGGCCGCTTCTTCATTTGGTTGCTGTTCCTAAGAAATAGATTAAGACAAGAACATTTATTAGAGAACATAAATTCCCACTAAAAACGCATCCAAGCAGTGATGAATGGAGCTCATCTACGGCGAGCGAAGGGTGGCCCTTCCTGGTGGGGCTTGGCTTGGAGAGGACTTGCACCTGTAGGCACCTGCAAGCATCCCGGGGTCCCCGCTGTCCCCCCCAGTCCCGGGACATCCCTGCCCCCCAGGCCGAGGCTTTGCGCCCGCGGGTTGGCAGTGCTGGGGCAGAGCATGGGTTGGGGCTGGGGACATACCCTCCAGTGGGCACCAGCGGCTGGAATTTCCACTGGTCCTCCTCACCGTCGAAGTACAGGCGGTTCATGATCTTGTTCTTCTCTTCTGGTGGGATGAAGTTCTCGATGATCAAGTACCTGAGCAAGCGACCGGCCAAAAGAGAGATGGAGTGGGAGCAAGGGGTCAGGGGGGAGCAGGAGAAGAGGGAGTTAACATGCCAAGTGACAGAAAATCAGTGGGAAAGGGATGTCAGGGAGAGGGGATGGGAAAACATCACGAAGATGGAACGATGGAAACGGAGAGGTTGACACGGTACATCCAGGTGAGAGAGGGAGGGCAGAGGAGGACGGTCATCGGGAGCATGAAGGCACTGAGGCAGCTCTGCGAGCCTTCCTCTGGGTAGGAGCCCTCCTCCTCTTCCTCCTCCTCACGGGACCCCTCTGCCCCCCTGCTGCCCCACCAGAAAACGAGGAAAAGCTCAATAACACAAAATGGACCCCAAAGGGAATCTTTTTCTTTCCTCCCCACTGTTTTTTGGGCAAATTGAGCAGCTGCAGAAAATTGTTTTGAATCAATGAGCTGCTTCATTCAAAAGTTTGAGTCACGTCCGAAGGGGAAGGCAGCGAAATTTGAGCTGAAATTTTGTTTCTAGTAAAAGCATAAATATTTTACCTTGAAAATGCCAAAATAGATATATATATACCTATCCAGGTGGGATTTTGTTAAGATATTCAGTAAAATAATTGCTCCAGGTGAAAACAAACGCACTGCAGATGGTGGAGCAGCAGCTGCATCTCCTGCAGGGAGGTTCCTGCAGGGGAAGCACTGCCCGAATTGCCCGCTGCCCCCGGTTTTGCCCGGTGCCACAGTCATGCCGGCAGCTCCCGTGGGGCTGAGGCTCACCCCACTTTGCCCTGAAGCCACTCTCCCTCTGCCGACCGTGCTGGGGCCAGAGCCGGTCTCCGGGTGCCCTCGGGAGACACCCCACTGCCCTGTCCTGCCCCGTAAGAGCCGCAGCCCGCGATGCCGCTGGGCTGTTGCTTCTGCTTGTGCATTTCCTGGCTTTTCATGTTTCTCAGCAACTTTTTAACACTGCTGAGATGTTAACACTGCTGTGAACGTGTGAGTCACACTGCTCCGCAGGGTTAAATACCTTTTACACCTTCTATCACTGCTTTGCTCTGCACACCTCAGCTCTGCTCTGAGCATGCCAGCTCTGCTCCGTGCACACCTCAGATCTAATCTGAGCACTCCCGCTATGCTCTGCACACCCCAGCTCTGCTCTGAGCACCCCAGCTCTGTTCTGTGCACACCCCAGCTCTGCTCTGTGCACACCCCAGCTCTGCTCTGTGCACACTCCAGCTCTGCTCTGCGAACCCCAGCTCTGTTGTTCTGTGCACAGCCCAGCTCTCCTCTGAGCACCCCAATTCTGCCTTGCACACTCCTGCTTGGCTGCGCCCGGGCATGGGGGACACATAACCACCTACTTGAGCTTCAGCTCCCGCGTCTGCTCGTTCTGTGCCTCCTCCAGGTCCTGGCGCACGCGGATGTACTCGTCGTGCTGGTCCTGGATCTCCGCCTTCACGGCCTGCAGCTTGGCGTACAGCTGCAGAGAGGGGCAGCCCCTCAGCGTGCAGCTCGGGGGCTACAAGCCCTGGGGCTCCAGTGGCCACAGGGCCGGTCGTCCCGACCTGCCACACTCTCACCTTCTTCAGCTTCTTGGTTTTGATCTCCCCCTCCTGCTGCAGCGAGGTGTAAGTCTCCCGCAGCTCCATGGTCTCCTCGTCCCGCAGCAACATCTCCTGCTGCATCTCCCGCTCCCGGCGTTTCTGCAGCATAGGGGGGAGGAACGCTCAGAGCCGTGAGGGGGAACCAGCCCCTTAGGACACCTCCATCGCCCGCCTATGCTGGGCCGGGCCCCCACGCCGTTACCTGCTCGGCTATCTCCTGCCGCTTCAGCTCCAGCATCTTCTGCTGCTCATTGGTGTGGTCCACAATGGTCCTGCCACCGATGAGCAGCTTGCTCTCCATCGCCTGGGAGGGGAACAAAGTGGGAAGGGGGGTCAGAGCACAACCCCATGGGGATGACCCCCAGCCATCCTCACCCGGGGTCACCTCCGTCCCCCACCCTGGGCTCCCTGTGCTCAGCCCTGGCTGCGGGGAGGTGGGAGCTTTCGGCGCAGCACAAGCTCCGGTCCCCAGCTGGTGGGGAGGGGGCTGCGCACAGACATGCTGAGCTCAAGGCCGGCTCAGCACCGTGAGTGCCTCTGCGGGGACATGGTGTGGGGCCGCTGGCACCAAGCCCAGGCTGTTTCGGGTCCCACTTCCTTCCGCACAGCTGCGAGCCCGTGGGACACTGCCAGTGTGCAGCAGCTGTTGGCAGCAGGGACTCAGCACCAGCCGAGCCGTGCCGAGCTGTGTCAAGTTGTGCCGAGCTGTGGAGCTGGGTAGGGGGGCTCTGCCCTGAGCCCCCTGGGACCCACTGGGGGAGATGCTGCCGGGAAACCACCCGCAGCTCTGGGGCTATGGGTGCCCATCCTGTCCCGTCCCATCCCATCACATCCCATCCCCCTCATGCCATCCTGCCTCACTCCACCCACGCTTCCCTTTGCCTCCCCGGGGGGAAAGGGGCCTCCCCTGCCCATGGCCACCCTTACACACACACACATGTATCGGTGCACGCGCACACCCCCACACGTGCACGCGCCTGTGCAGTCACACCCCCTGCATACACACACACACACGCACGTGAACATGCACATTCCTACACACGCACCCAAGCGTGCGGGTGTTTAGGCTCACAGGTGTGCACAGTCTCCTTTGCCCCCCGCACGCACACGCTTGTGCACAGCCCCCGTGCACGCACACGTGAGTACACTCATGCACACCCCCCGCACGCCCACACACACACATTAGTACACTCACACGTGCCCACGTGTGTGCAGGGCAGGTACCTGCACACACACGCGCCTGTGTGCGCACAAGCACCGGGGGTCTGGGCACACCGGTGCAGAGCTGAGCACACCCCACGCAGCTGGTGCCTGCACACCCGTGCAAGATGTGTGTGCACCTGTGCACAGGGTGCGTGCACGCCGGGAGCCGTGTCACTGTGCCAGGCGTCAGTGGGACAGTGCAGGTGGCACCGGTGGGGCCAGGGGGGGTCACCCTGTGTCCCCCACAGCTGTGGCTCAGGGGCACGAGTGGGGCTGGATCCAGACCCCCCGGTGCCACCACACGCGGCTTTAAAAATTAATCTCCCAGACAGTGCCGGCAGCAGTACCGCCCATTGCTGTCCCTGGGGTGTCCCACCAGCCGATAACCACCACCGCGCTGGCACGCACCTACCCCCGCCCAGCCCCCTGACCCTGCTGCACTCCCCAGACCCCACTCCGGGGATTCCTCCTTCCTCCCGGCCCTGTCGCCTTCAGTTGGGTGCCACCGGCTGGGGATGTTCACATGAAACC